AGGAAAACTTGTTCAAGAAAGCCTTCCTTTCAAGGTTTCGAAAAAGCTTTCCAAAAAGTCAAGTTTAAATTCATTCATATACAACAGATTTGGAAACAGGGACATAAAAACCCGCAAAAGGGAGAAGGAGCGTCTCAAATTTGGTTCAAATAAAAAAAACAGCCATCGCTCCCGAGGACGATCTGGCTCCAGAACTTGCTAGATCCGATCACTTCTATGAAAAAGGACCTTGATCATCCAAAGAGTCCAGAACGATGAGTTTGCTCCACTGTCAAAGAGAGCGGTGAACGATTGCCAACCATCTTCTGCAAATCATTCTTGGTGAGTGCTAGGTTTTTTTTTAACGCATGGCGGTTTCTCTTGTATAAATGATCAATGGTCACACTCGAACTTCATGACTAATCGTCGTTAAAGCCGTAATTCTTGCGAACCAGTTTCTCGCTTCCTCTAAGAAAAAAATCAGTGCACCTTATTCTGTGTTTATGAGCGCTCTCTCAGCCGCATTTCACAATGCAAAAGTTATCTGAAGGTCAATGATTATTTGGGGATTAGGGTTAGGGCTAGGGTAATAGAATCTGGTCCCTGCCCCGCTTTGCTTTGCCTCGGCCGGCTTTCAGATCGCGTTTTGGGCAATAGCGCCCACCGGCAATAGAGCATAACGTCATGTCACTGTTGATATGTTATGACAGCTATACTACTAAAGACTGGGTTCACGGCCTCATAGGTGTAATGTTATGGATTATCGCTCGTGTACGGAATGCACGAAATCCGGTATCGAGCCTCGGGAGAGGCAGAGTGTTTCGCCCATGATCCGGCACTGCGATGTTCCACGCTCTTTTCAGCTTAGGAGTGTAAGGAAAAACTTGATGGAGAGGCAAAAATGGAATATTAAGGGTCCGCTTACTGCGACGCATTGAATAGTATAGCTCAATAAACTTAAAGGAATTCATTCGTCTGACATGAAGAAAAAAATTGCAGGGGTCGATCGATGAAGGCAATGGCACTGTGCCACAAACCGGCACCACAAAAAGCTTAGTCGGCTAGTAGGGACAGGGGACTCGATCTTGACGGTGATCCTGCATATGACTCATGGACCAATAGAGTAATGGCATCGCACTAAACTAATGACATACAGTAGCGGTCAAAAGTGTTCGCCGAAACGGTTTTTCGTGCTTCTCTTTTTTGCCAGAAAAAATCAATGGTGACCTCGAAAATTTTTTCTTTTGAATATCCTGATTCTTTAAGGCTTGAGGATATAAAAACACTAGAAAACATAGTATATCAATCTTTGGAGGGCGTTGCTCAAGCGAGAAAAAATAATGCACTGAAAATCGTTTCGGCGAACACTTTTGACCGCTACTGTAGTGTCTTCCATATTTGACAACATGTCTGTTGTCCAGGAAGGCAGCACAGCTGTGAGCACCACGAACGCGTACCAAATGGAGCCAATCAGTGCCTCAAGAATACGATTCTCCTATTCCCGAATGTGGGCGAAGTGCCTCCATTCAGTCTGAGGAACTCACGACTGATTTACGATTTATGATAGAACCGCTCTTCACATTTATCCGTGTAGAATGTCCGTACTCATATGTTTAGAACCGAATATTTTGTGTTTGGGAATGTTTTGTGTATTGCTTATTTACCCTAATTTCCGGTGGTCAAGCCCGCGCCGATATAACGTCAAGCAAGGTGCAGTGCTCTTGCATACATCTAGAGGCAACGTAACTTTGCGCCTGCCCTTGCCATAGGAGTATTTCGATCTGCTGATTACGGAAACAACATTTTTTATAGCGGTGGCGTCATCATCATCTTGTCATGACCCCGTTAAAAAAATGTAAGTTTTTGTTTAGGGAGGAATTTGATGGCCTGATTACGAATGTGACATTCGTTTTTGGCATTCGTTGTTCAGCGCATATGTCTCGGTTGGAGAGCGCAGACGAGCAGAAAATAGGCGCCAAATAGCGCCAGCGCCGAGAATGAATGTCATATTCGTAATCAGGACACCAAATAACCCCTATACGAAGTTTACACCAAATTTGGTGAAAACAAGTGTCGTGACAAGGTGACGCCAAATGGCGCCACCGCTAAAAAAAGGCAAATTTACGGTAGTTTTTAGGTGTACAAAATTACACTGGACGAGCGGAGGTGTTTTTACGTGATATCGGCGCGGGCTTATATGCCGAAAATTAGGGTAATTCCCCAATGTTGATCGAAAATCATTTTACACGTTTTCAAAAAATGCTTTAATCGTTTTCCAAGAAGTTTTCAGCCAAATGTGCTAAAGCACGAACACCGAGGAGCTTCTCCGTTTAAACCATCCATTGCAGCGAGCTTTTCCCATTGTTTATTATGCGCATAGGCTTGCCTGAGAACATCGAGGCGCGCCTAACTTACCCCTGTTCGTGCAATA